CCACGGCCAAGCCAAAGCCCACAACCACCCTGCCCACCACAACCCCACTGCCCACCACGGCCAAGCCAAAGCCCACAACCACCCTGCCCACCACAGCCAAGGCCAAACCCACAACCACACCTCCCAGCACAACCACAGCCAAGCCAACACCCACAACACCATCACCCCCCACAACCACAACATTGTCAACACCAGCTAAGCCAAAACCCACAACTACACTATCAACCACCACCCCAGCCAAACCAGACTCCTCAACCACACCACCACCCTCAGCCAAGTCACAGCCTGCAACCACCCTAGCAGCCACAATTACAGACCAGCCCAAATCCACAAAGTCAGTATCCACCACAACCATGGCCAGTTCAGAATCCATCATCCCAGCAACCATCGCTATGGCCGAGCCAACACTCACCACACCAACACCCACCACAGCTTCTGCAGCCACATCCAAACCTACCGCTACAACAGCAGCAAAGCCAAAACTCACCACAACACCAGCACTAATCACAGTGAAAACCAGCCCGCAACAAAAACCCACTACAACCTCAAAGCCCGCTCTCATCAGAACAGATAGACCCAGTCCTACTGAGGCAGCTGGGCTAACACTGTCCTTTGACCCCACATTAGACCTGGATTATGAAATATCTCCAGACACAGAGGCAGACACCGAAGAGCCTATTACTCCCATAACAACTGAGGATCCGTCCTTCTTAGAAATGGGCACACCCTCCAGCCCCAAATCAGTTCCAGAAGCAAATAAAGATGTGAAAGAGAGTGGTAGAGAGACACCAGTCTTCTCATTTTCCAGTCAATCTCCATCCCATGGCCAAATTATTCCAGAGATTGAGTTAGGTTCCAATAAAGCTGAGCTCATAACTTCCTCAAAGTCAGTGGTCTTCAGCCCCGAAGAGCCCACCTTCTTGCGTTTAACATCATCTTCCAAAGAAACAAAGGGGCAGAGCCCCTCTTTCCAGACCTCCCTCTCAGGTAAGGTAATTGTGGAATCTGTCCTGGTATGGACACGTTAAGCGATCCCCAAGCAGCATGGAGCACGCTTGGGAGGAACCAGTATCAGACTGGTCCTCTGGATCCTCTTTTATGTGGCACCAACTTTTTTCCTCACTCCTTCTCCTAACACTGAAAGGGGCTGTTTGGACCTGTCTCGTCTGTGAAGCATGGGTATGTCTCCAGCCTGCGCCACACTAACCCACCAGCTGTGTTGTGCCTTCTCAGGATCTGTGCACCACTGCCTTGCACCTCATCATCTTGGTGCATGCCACTGATGGACCTGCATGAACAGGAGCTTCTCTTTTAGCTAGCTCTTCCCTTCTAACTACATTTTTTTTCCCTTCTGCCAGCAGGTGCGTTGGACACCGAAGAGATGGGGACAAACTCAGACCAGACAAGGATGGAGCATCCCTCAGGTGGAACCTCCAGCACCTCCTTTGGGCTTTCCCTCCTTCTCCTGCCCAGTGTCATTTTGGTGGGCCTTCTGCTTTGAACGAACGGTCTTTCTCAGCTGTCCCTGCACTACTTGCCAAGGCTTTCTTCAGCGCTGGTTGTCCCACAACCCTGGTAGGCTTGAGAGGCACCACGGACCACACTTTCTGCCAGGTCTTCCTACGCCGGCTAAGTCACTCCAGTCCCATTGTGCCCAGGGTGGCCAGCAGTCCCATAAGCACTAGGTTTCCCACCTGAGATCCGCGGGCAGGAAGGTGACTGCCATCATGCCGGTGACTACGGACACTGACACCTTGCCACCCTCCCACCCAGCCGGCCTGGGCTTCCAGTCTGTTTCCAAACTGGAAATGAGAAACAAGTCCATCTCCCTGTGTGGCTGGCAGGCCCTGCCTCACTGCTTCTGTGGGAGAAACGTGGAAACCCAAGTGGAAATGAGATGTAGTTGTTGGGGTTTGGGKTTTTTTTTCCTGTCAGGATGAGCTTCCAACAAAAATGATTTTTTGCAATTTTTTTTCCTCCTCGTGTGTCTGTCTGTTTCAATTTTGGTGAAATTTCACCCCTGCCCTTCCTGTCCAAAAAGGATGGCATTTTTTAGGGGTTATTTTCCATAGGAGAAGCTTTCTCTTTACTTTCTGTTTCTGATATGGCCAGTATTACAAAGATGTACTCCTTTCTCCTCCTCAAACCTCTACAACACTCCTTCCTTCCTTGCTTGTCTGCTGTATGTAGCCGTTCCACAGTTAGTCTGCTCCTGTGATTTTATTTTACGCATGTGCGTGCATYTGTGTGCAAGCATAGGAGAAAACTTGTCAGCACTAGAAAGGAGCTACTGGCTCCTTCATAAAGTGTTTCTCTGCATGACTTCCCTCGTTGTGTAATGTAAGCGTACGATGTATTTGAAGCGAGATACAGATCCTGGTTGACATATATTTCATGTGGGGTGGAATCTGGTCTAGGAGAAAAAAAAATAAATGATGACATGCCCTTGGACAGCTGGAGCTCAAGAGGTCCAGGTGAATGATGTTAGAGGCTAATGGTGGTTCCAGGACTTGTTCCAGGACAGTTGTTGTTCTCTGAGACACTCATTCCTTGTTCCTCCACGTCTCTGCTCTCTTCATCTGAAGATATGAAGAAACACTTGTGTTAAATATGTGATAAGTTTTGCAGAAGGGATCAGGAGAAACAGTTCTTCCTCTGGCTCTTGCATCCCTTGGTTTCACAAAGATGAAGTGGAAAATGACCCAAAGTCCAGTATCCCTGTCCTCCTCCAGGATGCTCTTTTCTGTGCACCCTGCAGGGCACACACTGAATAAACCCTGTTGCGAAAGCCATGCTGTGGGGYGTGCAGTGTCTCCCTGTGGGACCCAGAGCCTGGGGGCCTGTGTACAGCACGTATAATATGCTCTTGCTTGTGTACTTAGGTAGACTTGCTAAAAGATATGGCTTCTAGGGACTTTCTGAAGTTTTCTGAAGGTTTGCAAATGCATCTGGGTGTCAAAGTCCTAGGGGAAACTTGGGCTATATAAAGTTRCAACTCTGTGTTTTAAAATCTCTTTAAAAGCACCGGGAGGAGGAAATTTTAGCACACCATGGGGTAAATACCCTTAGCTCCCAGCTGAGGGCAGAGCAAAAACGCCACCGAGCATTTTACTGAGTAAGCAAGGCAAGAGGAAGAGAGTTCTGAGTGAAAAAGCTTGAAAGTGGGGCTGGAGCACTTCCCATTCCCTGTTCAGGGAGGCTCAGCAGCCAGCCTCATCCTGCCCCCGACCACACATGCACATTTTCATCTTAGCAGCCAAAAAGACAAAAAAAAAAAAAAAAAGTGTCCTTTCTCCCCCAGGCATTGTGTTTATGCAGCATTTTCAATGAAGAACTGCCCTCGGTGGTGAGCAGCATGCAAGGAAATGGCCTAACGTGGAGCACCTGGAAGCGAGGAAGCACAGCAGCATCAAGATTAGATCTGTGCTTTTTTGCTTTTCCCCTTCCCCGTGCCCCTGCATGGCCTGATAAGGCTGCCTTGAGGGTTTGCATTTCCCCTCGCCCTTTAATCTTGTTGCAGAGCCTGGCGGCACCAGCTCCCTTGCAGGAAGCCAGCTGCCCGTGGGGTTTTTTTAGGTCATGGTCACCGCGAGCCCTGCTAAATGGTGGCCGGCAGATGGCAGTGGGAGAGACGTTGCAGAGCACTGGACAGCTCTGAACTTGCTGCACAGCCCTGCAGAGAGAGCTTGGTGCTTTATTTAATCGGAAGCATCAGCTGTGTTTAAGAATTGGATTAAAAATAACCTCCTGCCCAGGTGCTGTGGTTGCTATGTGSTCTGCTTGCAGGCTGAGTGATGGGAAGTTGTTGCTGTGTTTAGCTTAAAAAAACAAACAAAAAAAAATCAAGCCTTGGGCTAATGAGAGATGCTGAAAATGCATCTCTCTGGCTGAAGGAGCCAGCYGGAGCCGTCACCTTTTGCTTGTTGAAAATAGCCCTTGCTAGGGATAAAGCTGGGTGTTTCGAGTCTGCAATCGTTGCACACTTTATCATGGTTTGGGTGCTCCTGGTTCCAGTAAGAATTGTTTGATTTCATTTTCCTTGGGGCTTCAACGTTTGGAGTCAGGCAGTTGTACAAGAGCCTATTTATGCAAGTTCCTTATTACAGAAAATTAGAACCCAGAAGGCAAGTAGCCTTTCCTGTTCTCTCTCCCTCCGCATCTCTAGGACAAGAGGGGCTGAGAGGCTCCTACATATGGAGGGGATGGTTTGTTTCGCTTTAATTCCAAATTTTGAGATTCTAGAGAAGGTGACTGCTTGGCAAAGGTGGGTCRTGGGGTGTTGCAGCACGCAGAGAAGGCCACAAGACACCTAAAGGGGGACATCTGTGGTGTTTCCAGACTCAGGTGTCTGATGGCRATTCCCAGGACTGGTCCATGTTGGATATGAAGGATGTTCTGGTATAAGGATGCTCCATAAAGCAAAACCAGCAAGTCAAAGGAGGGGAAAATAAAACGAGATGYGGGCAGAGGAGCTGATGTGGAGCCCCAGGGCCAAGAATGGCAAAGAAAGGCCTTGCTGGGCATGAGCATGAGGGAAGGATGGCTCTGTCTGGAGACACACAGCCTGCGCCGTCATAGGGAAGTTAAACCGTGCCTGGAGTTATGCTAGCTCAGCCCTATCCGCGGGGAGATCGAAAGAGCTGGGATGAGGCCGGGGCGGATGTGGCGGGGAGCTGCTGCCATCCCCAGGGGATGCCAACCAGGGCAGCTCGGCTGCTCTGTTTATTTATTTCCTCCCCCAAACACACACACACACACACACACACACACACACACACACACACACACACACGTGTACACACACACACTCCAAGGCTGGGTCACCACAGGGAACTCCTTTTGTTAGCGCAAGCAGGGGTCCTCTCCTGCCCTCCCTGTCCACCCCCTTCCCAGCCTCTCCACAGCACAGGGCAGTTTCGGTGGCGACACTCGCTGCTCGCCGTGGTGACCAGCAGGAAAATGGCCACCTGCTTCCAGGCTGCAAGACACTTGCCTTCTCCGAGCAGCAGGTCCGCCACCATCACCCCTCCTTGGCCTCACTGCGGGAGGGCGGTTCAGGCCCAGCCCGCGCGGCCTGAAGGGGGACACGCCATGAGGCGAGGGGACGCGGCTCCCTGGTGCCCTCACTGAGGTAACACCGCGCCGCTAGCTTCCTCCCCGCTGGGGGATGGCAACAGGGCTGTGCGGGCCGCTCTTCTGGATAATAAGGTCCCTGTCACTCCTCACTGTTGGTGGCTTCACCTGCTTGACCAACCCAGTCTGGCCCCCCTCCCCATCCTTGTCACATCCTGGCTGTGGCCTGCTCCCATGTCCTCCTTCCCCTCCATGCTCTTGGTGGCATGGAGTATCAGGAACACCAGTCCCCACCTCGGATGGTTGCTGTTCCACGCTCATGGGGGAAAGGCATTGCTGAAAGAAGTCAGAATAACTTTGTTTTTGCAGGATGGTGTCACCGGCAATGTTTTATTCATAGCTTCTGGCTTACACCATTTCACCGTTTCAAAAGTCCCTGCGCTGATGTCGACGCAWCGGAAAGGGGGAAAAGCCCAGCCTGAAGCGTCTTCACTCGCCACA